TTTACAAGATAAAAACTTAATAAAGCAATCACCATTTGGAATAAAGCTTTCCTTGCCCAAATACTGAATCAGTTTGGAAGGTCTGAACGTATTCTCTTCAATTATTTTAGAATTAAATATTAATAAATTTAACCACTGTATTATGAACACAATTAAAAAAATACCCAAACTATAACATTTTGAACCTGTTATGTAAATATGTCTTTAAAGTGTTATAATGTATTTGCTAAAGCTGAAAAAAGTGATTCTTTATCAAATTTCACCTTTGAAAATGCATATTCAAGTATAATAAAAGTAGGAAATTCTAAAGTGCTGTTACCTGAATTTGCATGTGGTGGACACATGTGAGAAGCTAGTGAACAACTTGGCTGCTTAACAGTTTTGGAACAAGAGGAAGATGGGTCTTAGAAGTGCAAAGAAAATTTAGTTCTACAAACTTCCTAGGAAAGTAGAGTGGATAGAGCAAAAGATTCACTTCTCTTGGTTTGCAAGCAACGCTCCTGTTGATACAACCCAGCATGCTGTTGGGGTTTGTGGGGGGTTACAACAAAAGCACACTGTTGGCTCATATTCAGTTCATTGTCCACTGTAACCTCCAGGTCCTTATCTGCAGTACTGCAGCCCAGCCAGTCATTCCCCAGTCTGTATTTGTACATATAGTTATACTGTCCTAAGTGCAGGACTTTGCACAGGTCCTTGTTGAATCTCTCTGAATGACTGCGAACCATTTTTTCAGTCTATCCAGGTCATTCTGAATCCTAGTCCTGCCCTCTGGAGTATCTGCAACTCTGCCCAACTTGGTCTTGTCTACAGATTTCCTAATCATGAGGTCAATCCCATTGTCTGAATCATTAATGACTATATTAAACAATACGAAACACAGGCCGAAGCCCTGGGGAACCCCACTTGACACCTCCTCCCAAACAGATACTGATCCTTAAATGACTATTCGTTGGGTGTAATGATCCAACCAGTTATGTATCCTTACTACTTTCATCTAGTCTGTATTTCCTGAGATTGTTAATAGGAATGTCATGGGAACAACAGCTTCATGTTGCTGACTTAGGTTGGGTTTGTAATTCCTTATAACCAGATCACCCCTAAGCCTGCGCTTTTCCAGGCTGAAGAGTCCCATATCTCTCAGCCTCTCATCATAAGGTCTGTTTTCCTGACCTCTGATCATGCACATAGTTCTCCTCTGCACTCTCTCAAGCTTCTCCACATCCTTTTTGAATTGTGGGGCCCAAAACTGGAGGCAGTACTCCAGCTGTGGCCTCACCAAGGCCTAGTACAACGGGAGAATGATGTCCTGGGATTTGATTGAGAAGCATCTATGGATGCAAGCCAGTGTTTTGCTCGCTTTACTAGCCGCAGCATCACATTGAAGGCTCATGTTCATCTTGTGGTCAATCATGACCCCCAAGTCCCTTTCGTCTGTAGTGCTAGCCAGCGAAGATCTGCCAAGCCTATAAGCATGTTGTGGGTTTTTCTTCTTAAGGTGGAGAACCTTGCATTTTTCAGTGTTAAACACCATCAGGTTCTCGTCCACCCATTTCCTGAGCCTGTCAAGGTCAGCCTGGATCACCCTCCTGTCCTCAGGTGTGGATGCTTTACCCCCAAGTTTGGTGTCGTTGGTGAACTTGGCCAGTCTGCTTCTGATGCCAATGTCCACATCATTAATGAAGATGTTGAATAATATAGGCCCAAGGACAAAGCCTTGAGAGACCTCACTGGTCACAGCACACCATGATGATTGACTTCCGTCAACCACCACCCTCTGGGTCCGACCACAGAGCCAATTTCCTAGCAAGTGGACCATGGTGAAGCTGAGGCCACAGTTGGCCAGTTTTGCTAAAAGGTCATCATGGGATACCAGACTGAAGGCTTTTTTAAAGTCAAGATATATGACATCAATCTCTTTCCCCTTGTCCAGGTGATAGGTCACCTGTTTGTAAAAGGAAATAAGATTGGTCAAGCAAGACCTACCCGTGACAAACCCGGGTATAGTTTCATGATCACTGGAAACTACTGCATAGGTTCTTTTCTCCCCTGCTCTCCATAGAGGCAGCACTCCCCAAACTCCTATTTTCGCTCCCAGGATATCCTCGCTGGCTACTGGGGAAGAACTGAAGGCGCCCAATTCCCTGAAGACTCTACTGACAAGAAAAATTTTCCCAGTTCCCCCATTCTTGCCAACCACAGTCAGGCTGCCAAAGAGCATGAAACTTAATAAACAAAACTCATGACTTCGTAACATTTTGCATTCCATTTGCAAAATGTACATTCACTTGTGATAGTACTAATGCAGCCCATGACATCTGTAACCAAGTTAAAGCTGTAAGAGAAATGTAAACCTGGCCAATTATCCAAAGCCAAAGTCAAATAGTCCAGAAACTATGTAAAGGTAACAAGCTAATAAACTTCCATGCACTGTCCACAACAGAATTCATTATCGTGAGTCTCCTTTACTCAGCAATGGAAAAGAGGTAGGCCTAGAAGGCTGAAGACTAAGAAATTTGGACTTCTACAGACATAGGAAGAAACAAGCTTCCAAATCTGTACTGGAGAGTGCCCCTGTCAATCACGTCTCTAATACAGATAAGCCTTGAGCTCAGGCATCAATCTTGCCTGCAATTACAGCATGATGTGCAGAACAAAAGCCCATCTCTTAGAGAGAAAAGGTCCCAGGACATTTAAGGCTCTATAGGTCATCAAAAACAGTATTTGAAAAAAAGAAAAATCAATCCAGAAACTAAAAAGCAGTTCAGAGACTTCATGACAAGAAACATCTCTTAGCACACAGACCACTGAACTCCGTGCCAGCTGCTATTTCCAAACTACATTTGGATCCAAGATATAGATTTCAGACTACTCCTTTAGATAAACTTATGAAACGTCCCCTTCTCACCCAAATCCTAGCAAAGTAACTTAAGACCACCATAAAGACAAGACAGGAAAAAGAAATATGCACCAAGTGGTGTAAAACGCAGCAGATAAGAGAGCATGCCTCTTACTGATTTCCATTTTTCCAGGACAAGGTGAGAGTTTTACTGACTGCTTATGGCCAGACACTAAAATATAAAATGGCTAAATGTATGCAAGTGTAGAATACAAAGGCAGCCAGGAATTAATCTAATAAAGGTTTAGAACCACTAGAATGAACAGAAATCTGGCTCTGTGTTTTGTAGTCTTGTGTATTCAGCTGTGTAGCAAGCACAGTTTTCCATAGTTTAGGCAAGTTGTTCAATTAATTACTTTTTATAATTCTGTACTTTCTGCCGAGATAACTGAAGACTCAGTGCAATTCCTACATAACCGTATAAAATGACAGACATTCCATATGCTACGCCATACCAATTTCATGTAGTCAACTATCACACTCTTCTATGTGACAATGAAAAAAAAGCTAAGTTAAAAGCAAGAGGATAATGAAAGAATCCCAGTTTAACTAATGCATAGAACACCATGCGAAAAGCTAATAATGGAAAATTGAACCAAAAGTCTCTGAGGAATATGCAAATATTAATTCCCAGCTCAATCTCTGGACAGACATTAAACAAAATCACTCCATTCTGTCATGCCATCTGCCAGGCAGATTCCAATTCTGCACTGCACTCCAAACTACTTATTATTTATTTTGAAGCACAGAGCTATCAGAGTTATTTGGAAATCAGCTAATTCACTCCTGAGCCTCTTATTTCTTATGATGTAAAATTAAAAGTATTAAAAAGTGATGCAAATTAAATGAGGAGATTGAGTTCTGGTATCAGTTCCTTGCTTGAGTTACACTCAGAACTTTCCAGCAACTGCATATTCAGCATATGCAGTAATATAGTATAAATGACTTATAACAAATTTTGTTTATAACAAACCATTGTTTCTAACAACTCTAACAGCAGAAAGTGACTTCATTACGATGCAACAAACTGTCTAACCCTATTAGAAAAAGCACCCTCTTTTAACTTTTCTCCCAGTCCCTTGGGTTTTTATTATTATGAGGTTATACTGTCTATCCAGAAATAAAATGAAATTTAATGTCACACAACAATATTTCACAAGAAACATTATGTTAGATTCTATAAGAGATAAGATGGATATAGATTCTTAAGCTTAAATCTGAAAATACAGGAAGGGTAGTTTGTTAAAGTATCCAACCAGACCATCTATCACCAATAGAAAGAGCAGCAGAAACATCTAGCAAAGAAGAATGAGGCAAAAGTTTACATTAAGGCTTCCCAGCTCTGATTATAAACAAGTTATGATGATATTCACAGAGGCCAAGAGAAACTAGGTGATGCATTAAAAGTCTCCTGTCAAGCTTACAAAACTTTTTTTGAATTCAAGTGAATAGAATGGATGTGACTCTTCAGATATGTTATCAAATGCAAAATAATTTCAAAACACTTGCAAGACCATCACTTCAAGCGGCAAAGGCTTTCGTATAAATCTTGACCATTAATCTTTATGTAGTCTGTCATGGAGTAGGCAATAGAAACAAAATGAAAAACATTAAAAAATTAAGCTTAGAAAGTCAGATCATGGTAGACTATAGTGCAAGTCTCCGTTGTAATGACTGCTACTGAATACTTCCAGATTCATACATAAAAAAATCCAGAGACAAATCCAAAAGCCTGTCACAGCATCTACTAACATAACACAAAGTAAAATGTGCCAGCTGCTGTCATGGAACAAGTCAGCAAAAAGGGAGATGAAGCTTTTTCTTCAGATTTGTTTTCATAGGCAACACAGTAAAAGATTCAGCATTTGAAATAGTCAAGTAGACTCATCCCTTTCGCAAGGTCCAAAATGGAAATGATCCAGCATAATCAGAAAAGTGTTTGTTTGCTTTTTGTTGTTTTTTTTAACTGAAAAATCTAAATCCCAAATAAATGCATCAGATATAGGACCAGTTAGTTTGGTTTAGTAAGAAAGAACAGCATTAAAGAAAAACTCCATATCTGCAACACTAGTTAAATATTATCAAATTAGAAAATCCTTACTTTTAGGATGTTCTGAGTTTCATTCCACTTGTTTGTCCACTCTTTGGTAAGCTCCTGTACCTATAAAAATAAAATTAAAAAGATAATTTTCTATATTAAAATAAGGCTTTTCTTTGGAATACCAGTAACTTTCAAAGTTTTACATAAAAAAACAACTAAGGGCATTAGTGGATATTTTTCCAACTTGTTGCAAGATTCTCTAGTAAAGCAAATTATCAAACTGAGAGGAGGCCTTCATATGTAGAAGTATTCTCCCTGTTGTAACTTATTCTAGCTCAGATAATATTGGGCTAATAGTCCAGCTCAAAATATTTCACAGTGGTCACATAACTTCTACAAAACAAAATAAGGTCTATGTTACTCCCATATTTGTTTTTAACTGTTTATTTCTACAATATACAGGATGATGAAAAACAGTATCAATGGTCTCTCATACTTCTGATTTGTATTTTTTTTAGCGTGGAAAAGATATTTAGATTATGAAAACTCTGATTTGCAGTGTTACATAAAAACAAGGAACTAGGGACATAGTCATTTAAAACAATGGCAGGTGTTTTCAGAACAAATGAAAGAATTTCATACGGTGCTTAAATCAACCCTATGAATTCTTGCAGTGACAGAGCGATTCAAACACTGCAGCTAGATTTAGAAATGAGCAGAGAATTACGATCAATTGTAATCATGATAATGTACATTCATATACAGGGTATAATTCATTTTAAAAAGGTTCTTTAAAGGTCATACATTGTACAAACATTTTCACAATATTTTTATATACATCTTGTACAATAGGGTATGGGATTTATAGTCATTTAATACATAAGTACTATACAAAATAAAGAATATACACATACCAGCTTTTTAGATGCATGACTCAACAAATCAGGAGTTTACTCTGCATCTCTGTATAAGAATATGCCTGTTCTACATTTTACTATGTTCTTTACCTCATAAATTTAATTCATAACCAATACTCCAAGTGAAGGCTATATTCAATATTTTTATTTAGATAGCCTTCATCCCAGGCTCCAAAAATTGCTGCCATAATATATGAAAGGTTGTAGATATTATAAATTGTTCACAGACGTGGAGCACAGCCGTTATTCCCAAACAACAGAAATATCTGTAATATACTTCCCCCCAGTTTTTTCTGGAGTTCAACATATTGCTGGAATTCAAGGGTTTATATACATCTTTTCCCACTTGAACCTACCTTAGCGATGAACTGCTTAAACACAAGACCAAACGGTTATGCCTTCCAAAACTCATATGTATATTGGTTATGAAATAGTAATGGTTCCCTACTCATTTCTGCCAAATGGACCTTCTCTTGACATGCAACTCCCTCCCGCTAGTCCACTGCTAGGGCCTTTGAAGCTAGACTACCAATTAAACTGCACTGTATGGAAGTTATACAAATATGTCCAACTGCCCTTGTCAAGGGAATAAACTGAAATCACCTGGTGCATTTTCACTTGTAACTCAGGATTTGAGAGACAAATGTATTATCTTTTCCGCTCTATGTGCCTTGTGGGTCTTCAGTACTGACAATCAGACTAATACTCTTGTCAACAATTTTCTAATTTTTTTAAAGAAACTATTAACAAGTGATTATGTTCATCACCTCTTTATTCCAATGCTTTTGGAGAATTTTTAATGCATAGAAGTTATTTAAAATTGGTACTATAAAACAGCAGTCAACTCATTAAATCAAAGAAACCTACCATACATTTGTCAGTTAATTTAAATATGGTAATAAAGTCTTTAGATCTGTAGAAACAAATCCATTATTATAACCATTCAATTATAAAAAAAAAAGCTGTAACCATTGTAATATCTGCTAAGAATTTTCAGTAATCCAGTAATTATGCTTGTAGCAATTATCTTAAATAGTAATCACATAACGTGCTAATGAGGTTGACAAAGGATAATAAAATATGCTCCATATACTTCCCACGCAGAGAGGACAACATTTCTGAGCAGGACAAGCAATGATTACTGCCAGAGCATGAATAATATATTATAATTAGCTTACATTCAGCAGTTTCTACTATCCAGCTAAATATTCACAAGAAATATAAATACTCCAAGAATATGCACCACACACACATGCATGCACACACCCAGCCAACAGCAAAGTGGTTTGTATTAACATGAATGTCACTTGGGGCCTGAGAAGCAAGACTTACAAAGAAAGGCTGAAAGAACTAGGGTTATTTGGAGAAAAGACGACTGAGGTAGGATTTGATAACATTGTTCAAATACCTAAAGGGCAATTACAGAAAGGATGGAGATGGGTTTTTTTCTGGGGCTGTATGGAACAGAACTAGGAGGAATGGCCTCAAACTTCAGAAGAAGAAATCAGGCCAGAAATTAGAAGGAACTTTCTGACTGTAAGGGTGGTCGAGCACTGGAAGAAGCTATCTAGAGAAATTGTAAAATCTCCATCCTTCAACATTTTCAAGAGCAGGTTAGACAGACATTTGTCTGGGATAGTTTTGTCAGAGATGATCCTGCCTTGATCAGAGGGTTGAACTAGATGACCCTGTGAGGTCTCTTCCAGCCCTACTTTCTTATGAGCCTATGTATGCGCTCTACTTTCCTATATAGTTTCATAGTTGGTAGGGTCGGAAGGGACCTGAGCAGATCATCAAGTCCGACCCCCTGCCATGGGCAGGAAAGAATGCTGGGGTCAAATGACCCCAGCTAGGTGTCTATCTAGCCTCCTTTTGAAGACCACCAGGGTAGAAGCAAGCACCACTTCCCTTGGAAGTTGGTTCCAGATCCTAGCCGCCTTGACTGTGAAGTAGTGCTTCCTGATGTCTAGCCTGAACCTACTCTCCGTCAACTTATGGCCGTTATTCCTTGTTATTCCCAGTAGTGCTTGGGGGAACAGGGACTCTCCCACTGCCTGCTGGTCTCCCTTGGCTAGTTTATAGATGGCCACCAAATCCCCTCTCAGCCTTCTCTTGTGGAGGCTGAACAGGTTCAGGTCTTGTAGCCTCTCCTCATAGGGCCTGCCCTGCTGCCCCCTGATCATGTGAGTGGCCCTGCTCTGGACCCTCTCCATGTTGTCCACATTCCTTCTGAAGTGCGGCGCCCAGAACTGGACGCAGTACTCCAACTGCGGCCTGACCAATGTCATATAGAGGGGGAGGATCACCTCCTTGGACCTGCTCGTGATGCATCTCTGGATGCATGACAAGGTACAGTTGGCCTTCCTGACTGCATCCCCACATTGGCAGCCCATGTTCATCTTGGAGTCTATAATAACTCCAAGATCCTTTTCTGCCTCTGTGCTGACAAGAAGGGAGTTCCCCAGCCTGTAGGTCTGCTGCTGGTTCTTTCTCCCTAGGTGCAGTACCCTGCACTTATCAGTATTGAATCCCATCTTATTCTCATCCGCCCACCCCTGTAACCTGTCCAGATCCAATAGCAGCCTCTCCCTCCCTTCTAGCGTGCCCACTTCTCCTCACATCTTAGTGTCACCTGTGAATTTGAACAAGGTGTTTTTCACCCCCTCGTCCAAGTCACTGATGAGGACCGAGCCCTGGGGGACCCCACTGCCCACATTCCTCCAAGTCGAAAATGACCCATCTACCATCACTATCTGGGTGCAGCCATCCAGCCAATTGGCGACCCATCTGACTGTGTAGGCATCGACACCGCAATCTCCTAATTTTTTTTAACAAGAATGAGGTGAGAGATAGTGTCAAAGGCCTTCCTAAAGTCCAGAAAGACTACGTCCACCGCGACACCTGCATCCAAGGATTTTGTGACCTGGTCATAGAAGGCCACTAGGTTGGTCTGACAGGACCTGCCTCTAATGAACCCATGTTGGTTGCCCCTAAGCATACATTCCCCTGCTTGCCCCTCGCAGATGTGCACCTGGATGATTTTCTCAAAGAGCTTCCCCAGGACCAAGGTAAAACTAACAGGCCTATTATTTCCTGGGTCCTCCTTCCTCCCTTTTTTGAAAATGGGGACCACCTTGGCCCTTTTCCAGTCCTCTGGCACCTCACCAGAGTACCACGAGTGCTCGTAAAGCTGTGCCAGGGGTCCCGCAATGACCTCTGCTAATTCCCTCAGCACTCTGGGGTAGAGATCGTCAGGACCTGCTGATTTGAACACATCCAGTCCCACCAGAAAGAAGTTCCCTGACTCTGACCCTGGGCATGGCTGCACCTCCCCTGGGAACACCGGGGATCCCGGTGGTGGGGATGACCTGGTCCCTGCTCAGAAAAATGGAGGCAAAGAAATTGTTAAATTTTCAAATGTGATTCCATTCTACAAACCAAATACTGTTATGAGGAAAATCACTACAAAAAAGTGAACAGCTAACACTCAAGCTTTACCATAAGTTTTGAACAGAGTACAGAAAGCAGGTGTTTGATACTACATCTATTGTAAAATGTGTTCCAGATAGAAACTTTGCTACTAATAGGCGTTATTGCATACTTCATTGTTTTGCACTGCTACATTAATTATACCAAGTCTATTATTTTATCCATTTAATTATGAAATTTACCTTGCTTTGTTAAAAGATCTTAAAAACTACTGATTCCAAGACGAGGTTTCCCCCTCTCCATTTAACAGAGGGAAAGAAGCCCCTCATCTTGGATTTGAGTATGAGGTGGTACAGAAGGAAGGCAGCTGTACTTCTTTACAAGAGATTAAATATCAATTTAAAGGATTTTCAGGCTAGATGAATTCAAGAAAGTGAAGTTTAGTAAAAGATGATAACACCAAAATATATATGCCATGAAACTCCTGATGAGTTGTTGCCACTCCAGTATCCAGACTGCACTTTATTTCTAAAATAGCAAATACAATTATAACTTACTCTTGCTTCATTCTGTTGAAGCTTCTCCTCCATACTTAAAGCTGTAGGAGAATCCAAGAGTGCAATCTAAAATTGTAAAAAATAAATAGTTATTTGCAAAATATATAGCATAATATACTTAAATACTCAAAAGAAATTAAAGGCTATGTGGAAAAAATTTAATTAACTAGCAAAGCAAGACCTGATATAGGCTAATTTATGGCAGTCCGTCTCGCACCCTAGGGAGCATTCACATTGCTGGTAATCTTATCAAAATATAAATTTAAAATAAAAATAATAGCACACACACATGCATACATCCATGACACCTACACGTTTCAGAAACCAGACAGAATTTTACAAGCATTTGTCTTTTCAAAATATATCAAGTTAAATTTGATTAAACAATAAAACATACATAAAACATTTAAGCAATGTTCTTTGTTACATAAACCTCCAAATAGACCCTAGTGTTGGGTTTTGGGTAACTAATACTCTCAGTGAGCCATGGTGACATTTGCAATACAATATTCTGGGAATATAAAGACTATCCTTAGAAGAAATTATACAAGGATTTATATTCTATTGTGCGTATCTAACACCACCTGCTGTTTTACCAAGCATCATAAATTCAATTAATTTAGGTTGGCTCTGCGCTCTTTCTATCACAGCCATCTTTAACATCATGAACAAAGACTCTCTGGAATTCTCCACAGCATAACCAGATTTATTTTGAGATAGCTACTACTTTGTAACTTGGAACCATGTCAAAGTACTAGTTCTTCAAATGAGTCTAAAATGTACGCTTAAGAGCACATTAAGTCAAACAGTATGCAAGAAAGAAAAGACCTGACAATCTGAAGTGGCTTTTATTATTTATAGTAAAATAGCAATACAATAATACTCACTTTGGATATTTTGTGAGAAATACAAGATTTGAAAATTACCAGTCATCTCATCCTATTTCTCAACAAATACTGAACAACATAATAATATGAAACTTAACTATAGCAGCAAGTCAGTATTCCTGTTTGTCAAGTAATATGCTGTCCTGATAATCATTTCAAAGCATGATAAAAGCTCAATTGTGCAAAAGAAAAAAAACCCCAAGGATTTGGCTGCAGTTTGTTTCCTCCTGCCGAAATCATGTTCATTTGATTAAAAAAAATTAGTATTCTATAATGCCACAATGAGGGAGACTCAATTAACTGGATTCTACTATAGTTTTTCAACTACATGCCTTAATTTCAAGCACCACCATCAGCTTATCATACCATCTTGCAGTTGGAGACCTGCTTCATTTTACATAAAATAGCTATAAATGATGTGATATACACCTGTGCATTTAATGAAACAAGCACTGCACAGTTGAGTAAGATTGTCAGGACGTGCACACACGTGACCCTTATGGCGTTAACTATAATTTACAGTATTTTAAAGTCTTATCTCTTTGATAAGAGCTTTCATGAGCTTAACCAAAAAGGTTCCTTTCAATGAATCAAACTTCACTGAGATTTAAGAAAGGATAATACTTATTTAATTAGTCATTTTTATTAGAGTTTGGTTTGATTATTCAAATGGCAGGTTGTAAAACTAGAAGATATTTTGACAATTCCCTTGAGTTCATTCCAAGTACAGTCCAAATAATTAAAAGTTTAATTCAGTCCCCAAATTAAAAAGTTAAGCAGAATTTCTTGTCCTAACAAAAACGTAAAATATACTTCAAGTCACTGGCATTTCCTGACATTAGGTCAAGAACCTAACAAGCCCTTTGACAAAAATATGGTATCACTTGAAAGACTGGCAGTATCAAAAACTATTGTTAGATGGTCCTTTAAAAAAGACATATAAAAAATACTTTAAATAAATAAATAAATAAATAACCAACCCCCGAAATGTCTTCTGATTCTTGCCAGTCTTACCATTTGCTATTAGGTACCCCAAGATCACCTTCTACAATATAAGCCACTAAAAGCCATTGGCTAATTTAAAAAAAACCTGAGTTTACCTTTTAAATGTTCAGATTAGATTGAGCAAACGTGCAAAAATGCTTGTCTTAACTTTAACAGACAGCTGATCTCTTTTATTCAGTTTTTAACCCACTCATCATTACATAAGGTATCACAAGGCACGTATACACATGCGCTTTACTGCACAGTAGACTAATCTACTGCACAGGAAAGCATCACAGTTTATACATGTGCAGTGTAGGCCAATATAGACTAATTAACTGAGCCACTGGATAGTACCATCAGACACTAGTACTATCCAACAACAGAGTATACTGCTGTGCTTAACTGCATGTGTAGATGGTGACATCCAGATTGGTTTACAAGGGCTCAAACTGCACCAGATCTTATTCAGTCACATTAATTGCATGTGTAGACACACCCACAGCTGCTTTTAAATATTTGCTAAGCGTGCTTTTTGTTTTCTTGATACCATGCAGCCAAATAAGTTGCTTTTGCTTTTACAAAACTTAGCAAACACCCTAAAGTTCCTTATGATATAAATACCTACAAATCTCAAATCCAATTCAATCTGCATTTGCAAACTGTCTTAAAATATTTTATTATACTTAGCATAATAGAACAGTATCAATACTTAACAAAGGCATCTTTTCCACCTCTCTAGCTAGCAATAAATATTTCTTTAATGCTAGTTGGTGGATGCTGCATTAAACATTTATCTGCAACATAAAGCTCTGAGCACATCCAGGCAAACTAACTATTTTTTTTAAAACACATTGAAGAGATGGCATAGTAGCCAAATAGAAACCAGTCCTAAAAAGAAAGACAACTCACTCCTTCATATACAGTTTGTTTATTAATATTAACATAACGAAAAATAATTCTGTTTATGATCTAGAAAGATGTTATTACTCAGAAACAATTATACTTAAATAGCAAGTTAAACTAACCTGATTCCCTTGAGCAAGCAAGGTTTTCAATCGGGCTATTTCAGCTCGCAGCTCACGAATTAGTTTGACGTTAGGATCTTCATTAATAGTAGGCTTGTTGATGATGTTTTTGGCTCTATTTGCATATCGCAGTGTACTTAAGGTTTCTCCATAATTGACATCAGCAGGTGAAATAGCTGAGAAGAATGAATTCAGAAATAATTCATACAGTACCATAAGTTGCATTTACTAAAGTCAGTTTATATTTTAAAGGTTAGATAAACTTTATGTGCATGGGGACAAACCATGCTAAATTTTAATACCATGGCTATAGTCCTAATTCTTCACTTTCCTCCACAATTATGTCAACATAACTCTACTAAAGTTAACAGTTATGCTGATGTATAATCAGAGCAGTCAGGCCCATTGAATATAGAAACATGAAGTCTTGTTATCAACCAAATTAACATTTTTACAACTCAGATGATAATCAACTTTATATTGAGTATAACATGTTCCTTAAAATGTACAAGTTTTCAAATGTTTACAATAATGGGAAGAAACAGTGCTTTCCCACCCTGCACCCCAAGTCTCAAAGCCATCTTCAAGTGTGAAATTTAAGCAAAAGCAACACAGTATGGTAGTCCTTCGGTTTGAAAATAAATTCTACTACTTCCTTGGCAGAAAGTAAACAAAAGGTATTTCTATACTGCTTTCTTGGGAGTCTGAAAAACTACTAAAAAGCACACTTCACACATTTGCTCCCACACAGTGCATACATTTACATGTGCCCCTACAAAGCCATTGTTACTGCATGGCACAGTAATAGCCCATACTGCATCATGCCGGTGGTACACAGTTATTTTTAGCCACTACCTTGCCATAGCAATGCACTATAGCAAAGAAGTGCATTGCTACGGCGACATAGCTGCGGCATCATGGTTTGTGCCTGCCAACGCTACATCGCCGTAGTGCATTACTACCACTATGTAGCGTCTCATGTAGATGCACCCAGTGTGCACCAAGCCCCAGATATCAGACCTGGTGGCTAGTTTTGCATGGCACTGGGCAACAGCATTCAAGATAAGGAGTCCAAGAGAAGTTCTGGGCTTTGCTAAACCAAATACACTGCCTAATTCTGGGGTTTGGTGCACACTGAGCAGGAATAGGTAAGCAGAACATGTTTCTTGAACACACAGTGGATACAATGTAGGCATGCCAATAAAAGGAACAGAAAGAAATAGGAGAGAGAAGAAACACACCTACTTATAAAAATGGTCTTTGTATTGCACTTGTGTGTCTGGAGACCACAATACCACAACCACCGCTGGTTGCTTTCAAACACTTCAACAAGGGTCCCCAACTGCGCTTTTTTAAGGAGGTAATTTAATGAAGAACAAGATCTTGTAATTGAAAGTGTCAGTACATTCATTCTTTCACATATTTTTCTAGTAAGGCAGACATGCATTTTGGTTTGCAAAAGGAAGTACCGTACAATTTGCAAAAGTTTTAAAATTACTGAATTCTTAAACACATGAATATAGTAAAATGTGTGAAAAATTTTACACTAAACCATCTTTGGGTAGAATTCAACACCCAAGCATGTGAGAAGAGGACACAATCAGAAGAAATGGGATAATGACTTCACTAGGAGACTATCTTATTTATGAAATACCAAATAGAACAGCAGAATGAGACCATAAGTCCAAGAGATAAATAAACAATCATTAATACGAAAACAATGCATGGGGGAGCCCACAATGGCAGGGAGCCTTGCAAAAAATCTTGTTCTGTTTCTAACCCAAAAACCTGCCACGTTAGGTAACTATATAAATCATCTAAAAGCATATAAAGTCAAATTAGGTAACTATATAAAGCATGGAAGAAAGGTAGCTCTCTTTGTGAGGGAGCAATATACCTCCTTGGAGGCCGACATTGGCTCCAAAGAAGAGCGACTCGGAACTCTCTGGGTCAAACTACTGGGTGTGGAGAGACCTAACTGTAGGTGTATACTACATACCAGCAAACCATGGGAAGGAGCTCGATCTGGAGTTCTCTCAAGAACTGGCAAAGGCCATGCATGCACAGGACATGGTCATCATGTGTGACTTCAATTACCCAGACATCTCTTGGGAGGAACATTCAGCTAAGTCAGACTGATTGTGTTGCTCCCTGACCTGTATCGAAGAGCTCTGCCTGACTTAGGAAGTGCACAGGCCAACCAGAGGTAATGCTCTCCTAGACTTGTTCTTGGCCAAAGGAGACAATCTGGTGAGTGACTTGGATATAGATGGTAGCCTGGGTGACAGCGACCACAAAACCATCATGTTCACTGTCCATAACAAGGTAGGCAAATCAGCTAGCAGGGTTTAAGTTTTTGGACTTCAAAAAAGTTAATTTCAACAGGCTCAGGGGAAGCGCTGCAGGACCAGGGACCGATGATGAAAGGAGTGCATGAAGAGTAGTCGTTCCTCAAGGACATGACCCTCAAAGCACAAAAGAAGTCCATTACCATGTGGAGGAAGTGTAATAGAAGAGCTGGTAAGCCCTCGGGTCAATAGGGATATCATGGTCCTCTTGAAAAAGAAGAAAGAGGCATACAAACAATGGAAGCTTGGGACAGTCTGCAAGGAGGACTACACAACAACGGCCTGCAAATTAGAAAAGCTAAGGAGGCCACTGAATTTAAACTAGCGACAGAAATCAAGGACAATAAGAAGTCCTTCTTTAGGTATGTAGGAAAGAGGCAGAAAACAAATGGAGTGGACACTGCTCCACTCCCCCGCATGGCCTCGGGGGCGTGTCCCGCAGTGTCCCGGAGCCGGTGGAGCCTCACTCAGGGCAGGCAGTGGCTTCTCCCCAAGGTGAGGCAAGGCAGGGATGGAGGCTGGGGTGGGGGGCCGGCTCCGGGAAAGTGCTCCACTCCCCGGCCCT